GTTAGATAATAGATGATTGTTATAGCAATACTAGTTAGATAATAGATGAGCGTTATAGCAAGAATAGTTAGATAATAGATGATTGTTATAGCAATACTAGTTAGATAATAGATGAGCGTTATAGCAATAATAGTTAGATAATAGATGATTGTTATAGCAATAATAGTTAGATAGTAGATGATTCTTATAGCAATAATAGTTAGATAGTAGATGATTGTTATAGCAATACTAGTTAGATAATAGATGATTGTTATAGCAATAATAGTTAGATAGTAGATGATTCTTGTAGCAATAATAGTTAGATAGTAGATGATTGTTATAGCAATACTAGTTAGATAATAGATGAGCGTTATAGCAATAATAGTTAGATAATAGATGATTGTTATAGCAATAATAGTTACATAATAGATGAGCTTTTTATGTTATATTTGTTTAAAATCTCTTCACATATCCTATGAAAGTCCAGCAACACGTGTTTACATGAACAGTCTTTTCAAAATAAACCTCCATCTTCACAGGAAAATACTTTTGTACAAATCCTTTTTGTTTGTACTTGATACAACACAAGGGTGCATCCAAAACGTGACATATTCCATCTCACACTCACTTAATATCATCTAAACTTAAGAGCAGAGGTGTCGGTCAGCAAACAGGAAGTGGAACAGGAATCACCTGACCAATCAGCGGCAGCGTGTCACGATGACCTCACAGCCCGGAGGTCGAGGTCAGAGGAAGTTCCTGCAGAGGAAGCTGGTGTTTTTATTTTGACTTTTCAACATCTGTGTGTTTTTAAAAGGAAGTCAACCTCTAAAGCTGACAGTTTCAAAACAGAAATACCACTAAAAGTACTCCATCACAAGTAAAAGTCTTCTGAAACGAGCCATTCTGCATAATGACTAGTTTTACTTTTTGTACTTAATGTATAATACTTTTATACTTGTACTATGTTGTTAAAAGAAATGCCACACTGTAACAATACTCAAGTATAAAAGTCTTGGAATGAAAAATGTTACTTCAGAAGAAGTATTATCAGCAAAATATACTTTCACTGTGAAAGATAAAAGTACTTCTTACTCAGATGTTTTATAATTATAGAATATTCTGTTTTTATTACATAAAAACATTTCAAGGATGAAGTTCATCAATGTGGGGACAAGTTTAGATACTTAGATACTCTAGCAGTACAAAGTACAATGTTTGCATCTGAAATGTAGCAAAGTTGAAGGGTAAAGTAACATAAAATAGAAATAAAGTACCTCATTTGTACTTCAGTGAAGTACTTGCGTAGATGTACTTCTCACCACTGGTTGTATAGATGTTTTTGTAGTATTTTCTGGTAGTTTTTGGTGCATTTCGGACAGAAAACACTGAAACGTGTTTTTATGTGAACAATATTCACTCGGTCACAATGCATCATTTTGACTGAGTTCTTACAGAAGTGGTTAAAAGTCTTCGTTAATGTTCCAGTAAAGCAGCTGGAGTTAATCTTTAGTGTCACTGTAGATCAATCACTGGTCACACTGGTGGTTTAGGTCGTGGTGACCGACACACACACACTTCCTTAATCTGTGTGTGTGAGTGTGTGTGTGTGAGTGTGTGTGTGTGTGTGTGAGTATGTGTGTGTGTGTGTGGAGGAAGTATTCAGATACTTAAAAGAAAAACGAGTTCTACATGGTAAAAATACTCTGTTCCACTAAAAGTACTAATAACAAACTGTAAAAATACTCTTTTACAGTAAAGTACTAATACCACAAAGTAGAACACCAACATAATCACTAACACATTACAGTATTAACATTATTACATCTGGAATGTTTTTAAATGATGAAAAAAGACTCTAGTTGTACTTCTACCTTTTAATTATGTTTTATCTGCTAAAATCTTAATCTGTAAAGTAGCTGTTAAATAAATCTTGTGAATTAAAAAGTACAATATTTCCGTCTGTGCACAAAAGTTTTGTTTTCCTACAAACATTTCTGATAACTTCACAAAATGAACAAAATAGTTTTTCACATTTTTGAGCTACAAGTATTTCAAATGAAATAAAACAAAACGTTTGATCATCTTTCATTGTGTTTTATTTTGTCATTGATACTCCAATACTCCCTTTGCAGAATGGCTCCTTTCACTGTGATGTTAGTTAGTTATTATAGAATATTATGTTATTGTGTTATCACTCATTTATTCATTTAACGTATGAACGTTCATTTTAAGTTACGTTAAGTTTTAGATACTTTGAGTACTACCGGGTAGTATTAGGATAGTATGAACACATATTTTGATTTGTTAAAAGTAACGTAAAGTGTCAAACGTAGTAAGGTAAAAAAAAAAATACAATATTATTGTACAATAATGAAATATAATATTTGCTTCTGAGATGGAGTAGAAGTAGAAAGTACCCTGAAATGGAAATGCTGACTGTGTGTGTGTGTGTGTGCGTGCGTGCGTGCGTGCGTGTGTGTGTGTGTGTGTGCGTGCGTGTGTGTGTGTAGAAAGGGGAAGCAGTGTGTGTATATAAACTGATGTTGAAGTCGATCTCATCATCTTCTGATTTGATCATCAGAGACTTCATCTGAGTGGTGAGACACACACACACACACACACACACAGACACACACACACACACACACACACACACACACACACACAGACACACACACACTTATTGTTTTTGCAATTTCAGCTTAACGTGATTAACGTGTCCAATTTTAAAGTCTATATAATATTTTTTTAGCTGCACATTTGACATTACTTATAATATACTACATACATTCTAACTCAAAGTTGTACTTTGGTACAGTACTTGAGTAAATGTACTTTTGGCAAAGTGTATTGTGTGTATCACATTTCTGACTTCTTAACATTTGTTCTCATATGAACATCATTTCAAAACATTTAATGAACATTTTAAAAGAAAACTTTAAACAGTTAATGTTAATGTTAAAATGTCACATATTAAAAATCGGTGATTCACAACCTTTTTGGTCTTTAAAGAAAAATAAATTCAGCCAAAGTGTAACGTTTGAAATTGTTTAATCATCTGTTTATTTGTTTATACTGCAGTTCATACTTTTTACTATTACTCACCAGGCTACCACAGTATTATATATTACTTTGTATGTTATTTTACATTATATTCCTGTATCTTAGCTGCTGTTTCTTTGTAACATTGTAATTCAATGTTGCGTACATGAAAATAAAGACTTCAATAATGTTTGAGACTGTAAAATATTTAGGAAGAATCAGACAAGAAAAACACAATTTGTGTAGCAAACATTTCTAATATTTATATATAATATGTAATATATATTTATGATGATGATGTTATTGTATAGATGTGTATTTGTATTCGTTTTGTGTACAAATGTTTTCATTGACAGGTTTTTTTCTCTCTCTTTTTCCGTCCTGTGACTTCAGTTCTTTTTTCACGCGTCATGTCTGGAAGAAACAAACAAGTACCGAACAACCACAAGGGGCGCTACACCGAGCCGGTACTTTACTTTGAAATACAAATGTTTACTTCAGGTGATTTTTGTTTTCTAGGCCATCAATCAAGTACCCAGGCTCGGGGTTTTAGGGACAACATGACGATGCTCTTGCATGTACTGCCTGATTTTCAATTTTTTTTTGTTTATTTGTTTATTCATATATTTATTCATTTTTCTTAATGATCTTTAGGTGCCGACCTCTAACCTCGGTGATAATGAAGATGATTTTCCAGAGTTTGAGGCTTTTGATGATCCCACATCTTTTGGTGATACCACACCCAGAGGATATGCACCTTCAGCCGGTGAGATACGATTTAGTTCATATCTTTTCTTTCTGTGAGAATCTGATCTATGATCAATAACAATATTAACATGTTGTATTCTTTCTTTATTCCTGCCTCTTAGGATCTATGTCGGTGCAGCATGTCAACATGCTTCAGCAGATGAACAAGCCGAGACACTACACCAACGACTACGACATCTCGAACCTGGTGGTCCGTCGCGGTCAGGAGTTCCAGATGGAAGTCACCTTCAGCCGCCCGCTGACCAACAGCGACGACTTCCAGGTCGAGTTCCTGATTGGTGAGTTTGAGCTAATTCTTATTCTCAGGTCGGGATAGGATACGGTTCAGGATCGCGATAGGGATCACGATAGGGATCGAGATAGGGATCGGTATCAGGATAAGACTTGGATTAGGGTTTGGAATAAGGATCGGGATTGGGATCAGGATCAGGGTCAGGATAAGGCTCCGGTTAGGGATCGAGATAAGGATCGGGATAGTGATCTGGGTCAAGAAAGGGATCGGGATAAGGCTCAGAATAGGGTTTGAGATAGGGATCAGGATAAGGCTCGGGTTAGGGATCGTGATAGGGTTCAGGATCGGGTTAGAGATCTGTAGATAACTTCTATAGCTGCCTAATTTGTAAAAATATATTCTGATGAGACATGTAAACAATATGCATATGAATTCATACTTTATTTTACTTTTATTTTTATTGATAGATATTTTTCTTTTCAGCTGAGGTTCGGTAGATAAGCTAGTGGGTTTCTCTCTCTCCCGCACATGTATTTTATTTCTATATACTTTTCCTTCTGTAAAATGTGTAAATAAAAATCTGAGCTGGATTATTACAAAAAAAAGACACCACGTCATTTATATCCTCTTCGTTTTTTCCTCACTTCATTTAATCTGATGTCTTTAAATTCACATTTTCCCAGTGAACTGAGCGTCTGTTTCCCTCTGACAAACAGGTGGGCGTGGCTTCTGTTACGGAGCGCGCTCAGTGGCCCACCTGAGACCAGCCGTTAAACTGCTCCCTCGTTAACCAATTAGCTGATGAAGACACGCTCGTTAACAGTCGCCCACTGAACAATTAGATGACTGTGAGCTCATTATAGGCAGCTTCACATTCATTTGGCTGGCTAATTAGTACACACACACACACACACACACACACA